TCCCCCCCCCACCCCCACACTACCACAGTATAGAGGAACGCTGAGACACGCCCCCTGCCCACACCCCTAGTCTTGCGGACACCTGAAAGATGCCCCTGCCACGGCCCCAAAGGCTCGAGGAGCCCTGAGAGAAAGCCCCTGCCACACCCCTCCCTCACCCCCGGCTCACCTGCCTCGTCTTGCGGAGACCCCACTGGCCCCCTATCACGCCCCTCCATAGGTTTGTGGCGCCCTGAAACCGGTCCCCACTACGTCCCGTGACAGCTTTAAAAATGCCCGCCAAGCCCCCTCAGCCCGTCTACCCGCAGGCATGTTTCGGGCAGCGTTGAATGGGGCTGCAATGCGGTAATCCAGTAACCGGTCGCTTCGGCAAGCCAGCCCCACCGCTTCCCCCCACAGGAGGGGGTGTCTCCAGTCTGGCTGAGCCCTCATGCGGGCACAGGCCACCCAACACCCCATCTCTCTCTGTAACCCGGGCCCAATCCTGTCAGCAGCGGTTAAACGGTGGGGTGGGGTTTGTGCTAACGAAACACATCCAAGGAGGAGGAAGCTGAGACTGGACGCATCCCCTGCCCGCTGAACATTCATCTTCTGTGGCTCCCTGCAGCTGCTGGGCCCAGGCGGACAAGGGAAGGGCACTGAGGTGGGAATTGGCTAAAAGTAGAGAGGTTAACACCTACAACTGGGGAGAACGCCCAGCCCCCAGCAACAATGAGGTAATTGGAAATAACAAAGGCACTGAAATTGGACACTGATTAGAGATCATATGTTTTAATAACAAAGGTCATTGTCTAGAATCACTCCCTTTGATTGCATAAAAGCGGACAAGGGAAGGGCACTGAGGTGGGAATTGGCTAAAAGTAGAGAGGTTAACACCTACAACTGGGGAGAACGCCCAGCCCCCAGCAACAATGAGGTAATTGGAAATAACAAAGGCACTGAAATTGGACACTGATTAGAGATCATATGTTTTAATAACAAAGGTCATTGTCTAGAATCACTCCCTTTGATTGCATAAAACAAAGACGTTTCTTTTCACGCTACCAGCTTTGTTTGAGAATGAAACAATGAAACCACTCTCTCTCATGCCTGGAAAGGCGGCTTTGCCTTTGCTTCACTTTCTTCTCCTCAGCCAGCGCTTTAGTGCACACGCCTTGCATGTTAGAGACAACCTTAACACACACCCTGGACCCCCCTCCACCACCACTTCTCTGATGGGCGGATAGGGCTAAATCCATAAAGCTGTTTGACTGGAATTGAAAAGATGCCATAACAGAAGGATTTCTATCAGAGGGGTAGCCGTGTTCGTCAGATACACAAAGAGGGTCTTTGCCCACGAAAGCTTATGCTCCACTACATCTGTTAGTCTATAAGGTGCCACAGGACTTGTCGTTGTTTATGCAGAAGGATTTCTGTTGATCATAAACAATGTTCCCGCTAAATTTTTTATCCATATGCAGATTTTTTCCATCCATGTGCAGAATAATTTTTCTACGTGCACCAAGGAATGTGTACCACCACCAGAAACACAAACCTAGCTGTGGGCACTCTGCTAATCAGCTGGGAAGCATTTGAATCGCTCCTGAGGGGCCACCCAAGCATTCAGCTTACAGGGAACTCTGATCATAAAGTTTGTAAAGTTTGATTCCACCTCAAATGAGAAATCTGGGTTGCTGTCAAAATTATCAGTTTCCCTTTAAAGGTGTCCTGAAGAGGAAATTATACATATATATAATGGTGTTCCTTGTTATGTCTTCATGATGTACCACTGCAGCCTTATATATTTAATTTATTCTTCAACATACACCCCTTTGTTTGTTTTAAGTAATTAGAAGTAGCAGGAAAATCAAGTCTAGTCATCTCTGCTTTTGCTGAAGGACTTGATGGCATCTCAGAGAAAAGTTTGCCAAGCTCTGTCAGCTGTTGGTGGAATAGTGAATAATTAGCAGAGCGAATATTTTGTCTGTTTGTGGGACATTTGCATTAACTAGATTTAATAATAAAAGCAAGAACAATAATCATCAATCAGATTTTAGTATTGGTGGTGTCAAAATCCTCCAAGTGCAAATCCACTGGTCTCAGTAGGGTTGCACTGTTTATCTCAGGTCTGATGCTTATTTGCGTTCCACATTTAAATAACTAAAAATGCTCAGGGCACACACACAGCAGAACCAATCTGAAGGCCTATCTGCTGCAAGAGGGCTGCAGATTAGGCCTTAAAGGTGACCTTCGAAGGAAAACCAAGATTGAATTTTGATTTCTTTATGATCTATTTAAAAGACAGCTGGATTATGGGGACAAGGTAAGAAGTAGACACTTGCTTCATTTCACCAGTAGAAACTGAGGTCACGTTTACCCTCGGAAAATTCTCTGGACACTGGGGCTACGTCTAGACTGGCACGATTTTCCGCAAATGCTTTTAACGGAAAACTTTTCCGTTAAAAGCATTTGCGGAAAATCGTGCCAGTCTAGACGTAGCCCCAGTGTCCAGAGAATTTTCCGAGGGTAAACGTGACCTCAGTTTCTACTGGTGAAATGAAGCAAGTGTCTACTTCTTACCTTGTCCCCATAATCCAGCTGTCTTTTAAATAGATCATAAAGAAATCAAAATTCAATCTTGGTTTTCCTTCGAAGGTCACCTTTAAGGCCTAATCTGCAGCCCTCTTGCAGCAGATAGGCCTTCAGATTGGTTCTGCTGTGTGTGTGCCCTGAGCATTTTTAGTTATTTAAATGTGGAACGCAAATAAGCATCAGACCTGAGATAAACAGTGCAACCCTACTGAGACCAGTGGATTTGCACCCTCCTAGATCTGAAATTGACTCTGCGCGGTCAAGTCCTCGAAGCATAAGCCCATCAAATAAACTCAACAGTGTTTCCCTGCTGGAGCATATGAACTCTGCAGACCGCTGGGGTCTTATTGAGAGTAATTTGTCCAAACCCCTTGATTATGCGAATGAATGTCAGGTCCCCTGTTACATTTGTATAACCGCATTTGCCCTGCTTTATACAAAACAACTAGAGGCTCGTTCTACCACAGCCAACAAATTCTCCCAACTAACAGCACTGCAAAGCAGCGCGTGCATCCGTGAAACTGGAATATGCTTTGCCAGATGGACTCCTGCAAAGACGAAAACAAAGCGGCTGTGACCACTGTGTATTTATACAAACCAGCTCCTTTCTGCATAGAAGAAAAATCTGCGCCCAGTGAGGGCTTTCCTTCCTTAGGACAGATCACTGGCCTTAAATCTATGCCCCTTTGGGCACATCTAGCATCCACTCCTGTTTTGAAGCAAGCCTACGAGGCAAAAGGTGTCTGGGTGTTGCAAGCAAACGTAGGAAGGAACAAGCTGTACCAACCTGCCAGTGCTGTGAGGTCACTTATTTCTAAAACAGAGGACAATGGAGACAGACAGAAAGAGAACAGAAATATACAGTTCATATTTTCAGACAGCTGATGAAGGGACGGTCATTAGAAAGGTGAGCACATAGTGATGACGACATGCAGGATGCTGATACGGTTACACAGAACAGGAAGTGCGGTTACTATTGGGGGTGGGGAAAGCCCGATAGTCTCTCCCTACATCCCGACTCACGTCTGCAATTCAGGTTCAGGGGGGCGGTCAATTTCTGAGTAACCCCATGTGTGGATACTAACTTCAGAATTAAGCAAGCCTTGTTCTGGTTTAGCTTAATCCAATTTGAAAATGGATTAAGTTACACAGGAACAAGGCAATCTTATTTCAGAGCAAGCACGTCCACACATGGAATTAATTGCGAATCGTTATTCTGGGAGAACTTCACGTGGACAGAAGCCCGCGGTGATGAGAGTCTACAGCGGAGCAAGCAATAGCTTATTCTGCCTGGGGTGTCTGCATGGATCTCAGCTGTGTACGTGGGATTATGAGCGGACTGAGGTTTGGGCAGAGAACATTGCTACATTTTCAGAAGCCAGACGAGACTGGCAGGGACGAGGAGATGATAAACATGGTCCTCTCTGGTCTGTGGGAAATGGTTTTTGGATAATGTGACCCGTTTCACAGGGAGGTCCCAGCAGAGCTGTGTCGCTTCGCCTTGAGAAAACGCTGAGCAGGACTACGATGGTGAAGGGGGGATTTTTATAGGCATAGGCATGAAGATGGAAGTGGGTTAATCAGGTGAGGAATGGAGAGTGATTATCACAAAGTTACAGATGCATCTGCTCCCCTTTGCAGGCTAGGAAAAAGGATTCCTTTCCTTTAGTGGAAGAAGAGAGGCACTGAGAGCCAGGCTTACCTAACCCCAGCTCAGCCCCAGACTCCAACCAGACTCACGCCGTGCCTAAGTTTACCTAGCTGTAAAATGCAGAGGATAGTGCCTGCCTGGGTGGATGCCCTCATGCGTGTACAGCGCTTTGGAGATGCAAGGTGTTAGATTTAATGCCCTTGTTGAGGGCATAACTGACGCATCCTCGCTAGTGGGGTGACCTCTAGCTCACAGAAAGAGAAAATATCCAGCGGTCTACGTCTGTGCGCGTCAGTGAATAAGCAGGGTCCAGCTGGAAGGGCCTAATGTATTGGCAGCTTGGGCATGAGGAGGGGGCATTGAATTAAACGGACAGGCTCCACTTCCCAGTCTCCCAGTCCGAGAGGGGTACGCTGCTGTAGTATCATCATCTCCCTTGTTTTGCCATACGCCGCTTTACAGGCAAGAGCCAGGTTCACGGCCTCCACCAGGCTGACGGCCCGTATGCCCAGGAAGCAGGACAGCCCCTGCCCCCCAACTTGGCAGGGGGTCGGAGTCCACCCTTTGCAAGGCTCAGTGGGGATCCAGCTCCCGCGGCCAGTGGGGCTCCGCCCCTCACACCTACCGTACAGGATGATACTGGCGTTGGTGTTCCCCAGCTTGTTGGTGGCCACGCAGGTGTAATTGCCGTAATCCTTCTCTGAGACGTTGAAGAAGGTCAGTGTGGACATGCGGCCCTTGTTCTCGATTCTCACGCCATCCAGCCCATTGGCTAATCTGCGGGGCGAGAGGGATTGATCAAGCCCCATCCCACGCAGCCCCCCTCGAGAGTGAGTGGGAAAAGCCCCGGGAGTCCTTGGATCAAGAGGAGCTATCACCAGATCCTCCTCCTTTTAGCAGGCCTACAGGCACTGCCCCAAAGCCTCACTCCTCCCAGAGGTTCCCTGGTCCAGGACCGTTTCTTCCAGGTCACTGAGAAGTTGCCTCCCGCTAAAGGGACTCTCAGACCAGCCTGTCACTGAAGGTTCATCTCCACAGGGGTGGGAGGGTTAATGTTCAGCCCAGGCAGACATACCCATGCTAGCTCTCTGCTCAAGCCCGAGCGAAACACAGCAGCGTCACCAGGACAACACAGATGCTGGGATGGGCTAGGGTCCCGATAGTCAGCCTGGATTTCAGAGGGGTCTGTATTTGGGGGCAGCTTGACCTAGGGATGTAAGCGACTAATCGACTATCCGTTAAGCAAAAGCTTACTGGATAGTTGACACACTAGTTGACTAGTTGCTTCCCCCATCCCCTTC